GAGACGAGATGGGACGGGGGCGAGCAGAGGCGAGGGGGGACGAGAGAAGAGTGATGGAGGGGGGGAGAGGGAGGGGAGGGGAGAGGGAACAGGTACTGAAGTTGTGTAATTAGTGTATAGCCAAATTAGACTAATTTTAATTTAATTGATGAAACAAAATGATATAGGCTACATTACAACAAAATATTTTTTTGGAAAAATACTAATTTAAAATGATCAGGTGAAATAACACATACTTTTTTCTTTGAAAACAATATTATTTACTCAGGGCAAAATATTGCAAATAATTTTTAAGATTATTTTAAACCACCTTATAATGATTTAAATGTGATTAAAATATACCGAATGTCCGGTGAGGGAAAACCAACTTTTAAAGTTTACTTTCAAGTTGATTTGTGTAAAAAAATCTATATATAGTATAGATATTCGCATAGTTAATTTTGTCCAGGGTAGAAGCAAAGCAATTAGTTCTCAACATAGTGCATGATTGAGAAATTGGAATCAAATAGTCTCCCAGATTCGAGTGCAGCACATTAATCAGCACGTCACTTGGGTTTATTTTGAAAAAAGCATTCACATTAAACAGAAATTTTCAATGCAGGTTCAACTGTACAGGCTTCTTTGAACTCATTTGCAACAAAAATTCTCCAATTGGAACAGGATCCTTTACCATTTTGCCATTTGGTTTCTTCCAAATGATCAGTACTTGAAAAATTTCTCGAGTTAGAAGCAAGTGAATCAATGGAGCTAACAAACAAATCAACACCAAAGTCAGACACAATTCCATTATTTTAATATTCATACATATTTTTGGATTACATTTGGTATACATTTGTAATTAATAAATGGATTCATTCTCAGGTGAGCCTCTTTTTTGCAACATGACCTTTTTGGTCTTAAGACCAATGTCCTACAAAGCAAAAAATACAAAATAGTGCTCTAAAGTGCATACTTTGCCTTTTGTAGCAGCCTCCTCTGCAATTAAGATCTTCATGGTTGTGGTCTTGCCTGCGCCATTGTGACCCAAAAGCCCGAACACCTCACCAGCTTCCACTGATAGGGATAGATTGCGCACCACCACCTTGGTGCTCTCTTCTGTCTCTGATTCCCGTGTACAGCAAGCAGAGCTGCATCCATCCCCTGTGGCATCCACCTTGTATTCCTTGCGCAAGTTCTAAAACATAATGAGATTCATCTGTGGTTGAAGTCAATAAAATAACCCTTTAACCCCCACTCTCATGACCGTGTGGGTTAAAGCCTTTCAAAGTTTTGTTGAACCTGGTGTATCTGCGATAGCAAAGACCAACACACACCAATCGTGAGGGTACGTAGTGCGGTAGTAGTTGCATATTACATCTCTAGATCGCATTTTCATCGCACTTATATGTCACATGGTCCATTTGTTTTCTAATTCAAAATACGTGTGGCTAGGAGAGTAAACTTGGGTTTTTGTTTTCTTGTTTATTCATGTATATCGTAAATTATAGATGATTGCTTGAATTACATTTTATAGTTAATGTACTAAAGAAGTGTTTTACAATAAATTTTTGCATTTTAAAAATATAGGATAGAGTATTTGTCAACTATCGTGCTAGTAAAAGTTCAGTGTTCAGTGCTACTAGAATTCTATGAAGTAAGTAGAAACATCTGTTTGAATATTTTTTAATAGTTGTAGGTAAATATTTGCAATAGCCATTCCAACATGCGCAGTGAAAAGGAAATGTTAATTTATGTTATTAAGAAACCCAAATTGCTTTGAAGATTTTCATGTAAAAATAAGTTAATTTTTATGTCATAAATGCTTCTTTTCTATGATGTTTTAGAAACAATGTAGTGTGTTTGTTATTAAAAAGTGATCTAATAAATAAAATAAAAAAACAAGTGCAATGTTTTTATATATTTTTTACAAAACAATGTTTTAAAATTTTTAATGTAAAAATACGTTATTTTGTTCAAAATGCATTTTTTCCACTACATTTTTTAAATAATGAAAAGTACATTGTTTATTTATGTTGTTCACAAACACAAATTGTTTTAATGTTAAAATTGTTTGAGATAAAAAATAATTTAATTTTTATGTTAAAATTTGCTTCTCTTCAATTATATTTTTCTTTAAACCATGGATTCACTAGTTTAATTTTAGAAATTCTGAGAAGTCATTATTACCTGACTCTCATGGTCATGCGTGAATGCCCAAGCTGATTCTAGAAATGGAATATTTAAAATAATATTTTTCACAAATCTTTAGACATAAAATGATCATAAAAATAACGTTTATTTGAAATTGGGAAGAAATATAATTTCAGGTCTTAAATTAATTAATAATTCATTAATATCTGCACGAGAATACAACTATTGAGTTGTTACTTATTATAAGAATACAACACCTGTAGGTATCCTGCCATAATCTCTTGATCTGGCAAGCAACTGTTTGTGAAATGAGTGTGGTTTGCAGTTTGTGTAAGTATAATTGAGGAAATAGATCTCTACACCAGGGACAACGGTACAAGCACTGAGATGGGACCAAGGAATACAGAAGGAAAAAAACATAACGATACAGAATTGAGGTATGCCTCTGTGATGTTCAGGGAGTGCAAAGATGCTCTTCACTGGATATGTCGTCAGAGAAGTGGGACATACTTCAAGAAGCCCTGGTATGCTGTCTAGGTGCCAATAGATAGGAATTGAGATGAGGGTGGGGTAAAACTGAAAAACCAGACTCAAGAGAATAAGAAACTAACTCATAGAAGAATGTCTGTGACATTTTGGAGCACCACTTGTTACTTTCTTGTATACGCACAAACATTTCCATTACTCTCTAACCATGTCACTCTTTGCTAAGAGAGTAAATTATGTAAATGTGGGATTGAGATGCATTATATAAATTTATACAGATAATACAAAGGAATACAAAGTTTTTTTATTGATGAGAAAAAGAATACAAACATAAACATGGAATTTCTTTTCCTATCCACTGGCACAAAATTTATGGACACGTCCATCTCTTTTCTATGATAATACTTACCCGAACAACAACAACAGGAGGTTCTGGAGGACTTGTGACCTGAAGGCCTGCAACTTTTTCTCTTTCTGTCCTCACATCATCATCTTCATGCTCATCCACATCTGTGTTCTCTTCCCCTGAGCTTTCGATCACCAACTTTGGCTGCACCAAAAATCACAAACAAATTTACAACTTACATTTTGGACCTTTGTAAAGAATGAGTACATTTTCATTCTATTTTAAAAGAAGTATTTATATAAATTTATTTCATCAGTAACTTCTATATCAATTGAAATCGGTACTGTAACAACCATTATTAAAATTATTGTCTTGGAAGTTTTTTATTTCTACACCTGCCACTGACAAACACATAATTTGCTTCAGTAAAGTGATTGACAATTTGAATAATTACCAAACTTTATGAGAGAAAGAGAAGAATTATTTGAATTTAGTATAAGGGATTACTTTTAAGAAATCAACAAGTTGCACAGTGTTTATTTAAAGTACTGACTATAAAAGACTGACAGTAAACATGCCCATTGATTTAGTATATGTGTAGAAATTGTTATATCTAACTTATTTATTTATTTAACAGGCTGTAAAATATTTACAAACAATGGTTACATTATTTTGAGGAAAATAACCTGTGTGTGGATCTCCTTGTGAATGTTTTTCATTATAGTTATTCACAATTTTTATATTATCATTATTTTGTCAAAAACATTCAGTCATTTTATCATGAGAGAAATGAGAAAGTATAATTTGGTGATGTGCGTTTGAAATGTTTGAGAATATGTTTCTTGTCACGATGCAAGCATTTTCTGCATATAATCTTTATAATTATCAACAACCTCAACCAACAGATATTAGCAGGCTGAAAGTTACCTGCTGACAATCGCAAAAAATTACTGAACGTGACAGCAACTCAGACAAAAATTATTTTGATTGACACCATTGTGATCTCTTTTCTCACAAAGTATCTCTTTTTGCATCTCTCAGGTTTTTTACTGTTTGTTGACAAATGTCACAAAACTAACATGTTTTGTCATATTTTCACTTACTTTTATTATTTTTCAAAATATACAAAGATCTCAAATAGACATTTGCATTTAAGTTGCTCTACAAGCATTTATTCACCCAAGTTGCAAGAAGGTATTAATTTTTATCATACTTAAGTACTTACCAAAAGACAGCGGAATACATCACTTGCTTTCCCTCCGGTGCTATGTACATCCAAGATGACAAGCAGTAAATACCACAGGGGGATGTGCAGAATACAACTTGTTAAAATAACAATAATTTCATCTGTCATGTAAGATGCCAGTACAGGATGGTGACATGATGAGTTAACTTTGCATATATAGTATACACTATCTACATAGTATATAATACTGAAGGGAATGTATGGAGAGCAGAAGAATGAAAAAAAGAAGTGCAGACAATATGCACTATAAGGACCTGCGAACAGAATAGAAAATGCCAGCTGAATAAGTCAATATACTTCACTCATATTATAATGACTTTAATGATTTAGCATGACAATTGTGTTTAGACTGTATATTGTAAATATTAACTTCTTTCAGTTTAGCTTTTAAATTATTATTGTTAATTTCTTCCCTTAATTTATTTTTTAAATTATTATAATTAATGAACTGTTTCTTTGGAGCTCCACTTCTAACATGTTTGGTGGAAATTCAGCCCCCTTTTTATTCCTTTTGTTATGGAAACTTTGAAAGCAGATATTGTTAACAGTTATGTTGAACTGTTAACAGTCTCAGGCCAACAGAGGGGGAGGGGCTGTCAATGATGGACCACAGTGTAATTTCTTTTCATATTTTTACTTAGGTTATGAGTTTCAATTTCACCGTTTATGACTTTTATTGTTAGAATATTTCTTAAATCATGGTGATAGTTTTGTATTTCAATGTTTATTAGATGATTAAAAAAATTCAACACTGTTGCCATGCATAATCGCTTCGTGGAAACACTGGCATTCTCTTACAGCCAGGCCTACTTCTCTAAAACTAAAAATTGTTTATTACAACAGGCAGAAAATGATTGTTATTGTTGTTAAATACTTATACTACTTCTTAAATATGTACAATTTTTTTTTCAATTATATTACAATTTATTCTGGGGTCCAACATTGACTTCTCCAAGTATTGAAATGGCATCGGAGTGTCTGTTAAGGATTTATTATTTTAACTTAGCTAAACTATGAGACAGTACATACCATATCTTATTTTATTCTATTGTTGAAATTGTGTTGAGGATCTGAAGTGATCAGTCTTTGACTTTGCATTTTAAAAACCTTACAGTGTGAAATAAACAAGTCTAATTCATGTAGCCTCCTCTTGAATAAATGATCATTACAATCTGTTTTTCAGTCATGTATGACAAGAAAATTTCAATAGGTTTAATATGAACTTCTATTAAACTGGTCGCCAGACAATAAACAATCGGCAAGTGAGTTTTCATTACAATCACTTCAACCAAAATGAAACAGCCACTTATCCCAACATATTCGAACTGAGAACCACCTGAGACCAACTACCAACTGTGAGTGAATCTTGAAAGAGGTAACCATCTTTCAATGTAATATTAGTATAAAATCTCAGTCAATCAGGAAATTTATTTGAATCAATATATCATAAAATAAATAATATTTAATATGTAATATTTAAGAAGCAGTGTTGTGCAACAACAAATTTATATCGCTAATGAGCATTTCAATTTCATTTCTAATTAATTTTGTTTATCTTTTTTGAACAGATATTGTGATCTTTGTTATTTCATAAAAACCTACCTCATTAGTTGCTGTTTGCAGAAGATAGTAGGTTACAATATACTGAACCGATTTAGGCCTACATGAATTGTTGGTATAATGCGATGTAGGCTACATTTTATTTGTAATTGTATTGTCGTCATTCTAACATAATTTTTCACTATAGTTATTGATAATTTTGTATGAAACTGGAATTTCTCAGGAGACTTTGAAATTAAAGCTATATTTTTCCTAAGAAGATTATTAATCATCTTGGGTGACTCTCTAAATGTTAATGAATATCATAACACAAAGATTACTTTTAAGATTTTAAAAGTACATCTAAAAAATAACAAAAACAAGATTTTCTCAATTCGTTTGTTTTTTAAAAATTACATAACTGTGACTTTTTTTAACTTGTCACCCATGTCGGTAATATTTACATTAGTGGCGATTTGTTTACAATATTTTATTTATTACATTAACTTTAAATAATGTAACATACATTTCTTGAAAACTCAACAGTTTTCTGTGAAAATCAGCTCAATTTTGAGAAACATTCAGTTTCAACATTCAACAGTTTTCAGAAACATTCAAATTGCATTTTTTTTAAAATGGCTCTTAACTTTACCAATGGATAGTACTAATTGTACTGTTTAAGATGACATAGTATTAATTTTGCTGTATTCTTTGTTGTTGTTGTTTTACACAAATGTATTTTTTTAAATATATCTCATGCCTTTAATGTGCACATTTTCAGTGATTTGTAAAAGAAGAACTGAAATACTATTGTATTTCTGACTGGAAGTGGTTGAAACGACTTCATATAAATTTTTTTGAAATTTCAATAGTTTTCTGCGAAAAATAATTTTCAGTAGCACTTAAGCACCATTTTCTTAAAAACTGCTCCACATTGTTCAAAGAAAATTGCCATTTAGGACAAGATTTTACTGTTATTTAATATACTTAAATAATATTTCCGTTCTACTATTTAGAAAACCAAAAATGAAGTGTGTGTCTGTGGTTTGGGGGGATGGCGGGGGAGAGATAGATGGCAGCTGACATGAGTATGTGGCAAGTTCGAATAGCTAGCAAGAATACGAGCTCTATTATGTTAAAAACTACTTCATTCAAAGGAGAGAGAATACATACTGAACTTTGGAAAGGAGATAGAAAAATTATGTGAAAACTTTTTGGAATCATGTAACTTGTAAAAAAGCAAGTCATAATCTACTAAATGTAATGGAAAATGGTGAGAAAAAAGTCATATCAGGAAAGTTGACTTATAAGCAGATTGATTTGAATCTTGTTACAATGAAAATGTTTACATAGAGGATTTTTCAATTACAGGAACTAATATCAGAGACACTGATATTGTAATTACTACGATGCTGTGTTAAATAAACTGATGAAATTCGAGAAAAAATATTAAATGATTGTGCAAGTAGAAAATAAGCTTGAATTGAATTATAATATATGTAAATTACTAAGTTATGCTAACGGTAATAATAAATTCCAGAATTTGTATTTGATGGGAGATGTCATAATTTAAGAAATTAATCCAATTAAATATTTAAAAGTGGTGATGGATCCAAAAGTGCTATATTATGATCATGTTAATTAGTATATAGGTAATGAGTCTAAAAGTACAGTAAAAATTGCCCAAAATGGAATTCCAGGATAAACACCCTATAAACTTAAGCTTACTGGCTAATTCTTAAAAACCAAAACAGAATTATTTTATAACTGCAATGAAAAATATTTTATATTCTTTACAAAGTTTACTAATTTGTCTGTTTTGATTAATGAGTAAGAAAGTATTCAAACAAATAAATCAATTATACTGACTTTGTAGCAAATAATCCACAATAACAACCAGAGCAAAGGGCACACAACCAACAGGACACATGCCATTTGCCAAGAACCCTTGCGCAGTCTCCATTTTGTCAAAAATGTAGGTGCAACAAGCGATGAAAAGCATTAGGTCCACAATGCAAAATAGGAAGAGGACTATCAGCACAGACAGTGCTGCTGTATTGAGGAGGCTATCTGCACCATGTAGCCAAAGAGCTAGCAAAAATCCACCAAAGCTCAGGCAGATGAGGGAGCCAATCACCACAAAGTATGACACAAAGTACATTGAAAATGTAAGACCATTGACACGGAGTTGGTTCTTTGCATGGATCTGAAAAAAATTACAAAACCAGATTACACAATTGTCTTTCAGATTTTAAGGGGCATTTACCAAATTTTGCACAAAAACTTTCAATATCTGATGTCATTTCATTTACTTAGTAAGTAGCAAAACTGAACAGAAATGTATTTAAATATTATTTATATTCTAACAGTCTCATCAAATATAATATAATGAAGAATGTGTGAACAAAGTGAATTATAAATACTCGGAAAATCATATATGAAATAATTGAAGCAAAAAGCAGATTACAATTTTAAAACAAGGCTGTCAATATTACACATACAATATGTATAATCCCCATGTTTTTCTTCTTTCTTTGTTTGACTGATTAGTGATTCCAGACAAATTAACTTCTAAGGTAATTAGTCCTGTAAGAATAGTGCATGTTTTCATTATGGGCTTCAATCTTCCCTCGCTGAGTGGCAAGATCTGTCGCAGAACTACCGACACCTAGTCAGGTATTCTCCAACCAGGTATCTAACACCAGCAGGCCACCGCCATGTATGGTAGTGTAGTGCATGTGAGTGTGAGTAAGTAAGGGGTGAGGCTAGGACAAGGAAAGGCAAGGAAAGATCACGCATGGTCTGTGGTCCATTTCCAGCATATGCCTTGGAGTTACCCAAAGAAACCACAGAAAACTACTAATTAGAGCAGCCAGCCACAAGAATTCTCGTGTAGATAAAGGCTGAACTTGACCTAGCTATCCAGATAGTGTTGAAAATTCTACGACCATTGGGACTCAAACCTAGGACCTCTCAATCAAGGTACTGCAGTGACATCAGCTGATACCCTGAGCCACCTCTGCCAGTGTGAAATATATACATAAAATATTGCTATATTGTATTGTATTTAGGGTTTTTAAACTTAACTCCATCAATAAACAAATGAACAAAAAAGTAAATATATATTCAATAAAATTCGAATATTGCAGGTTTGCACTTTAAAAATGGTGATAACGAACAGTAGTGAGTTTCTATTTATATGACTAATAGGTGCTGTTAACTCTTTCTGACTATAAACAACTGACTATGAACTCCAGCCCAATTAGAAATAAGTAAATTACTTGCCATGGGCAGCATCAAAACAATTAAGGAAACAAGTATGTAACTTAAACAATACTATTAACCACATTGCAAAAAGAAAGAATCATGTAATATGTTATGATAATATGGGCAAATGTCATAATTTTGAAGCAGTAGAGAAGGAAAACAAAACATCTTGTGGTAGAATTAAGAAAATAGCAAAAGGAACACTTAGAATATTTCATCAAAATGTTTAATATATTACAAACAAAAATGAACAACTAGAAACAATTTTGGATGATATTGACACACAAGTCTGCATTGTTACTGAACATGGTCTGAATAATTATGAAATCACAACACGTAAGATTGAGAACTACTCTTTACTATCACACTATTGCAGACAAACGTATAAAGGTGGAGGAGTGGCAATATACACTCAAAAAAACTTAGTGGGTGAAGAAATTAAGTGATTAAAAAACTATGGTGAGAAAATGATAAGTGAAGTAGTTGGAATAAACATATAATCAGGGAAACAAGATTTTTAAGGGCGAAAAAATCCTTTGTCCGCCTTCCTTCGGAGGGGAAGTAAAGCCGGCTGTCCCATGTTAGTAGATTTACTTGCATGTAAAAGATCCTCAAGCCATGATTCTCTGAATGATGACTCTGAGCTAAATTGAAAGTGCCTGTTTCTCGCCCAAGAAATACCTCCTTTCTCTGCTAGTTGGTGAAAGGAACGTAGCGAAATTTGCGTGGTCAGATGGAAGAGCAGGTCTCGCCACGTAAAATAAGGCATTAATTCAATTCAATTCAATATTCTTAGAGAGGCAAATCATAAAATTACTTGGTATCTTTTCTCCACCTCTCCTACCAATAACTTATTAAAATTAACATCTCCCAGCACTTAATTGAGCACAAAGCTTAAATTCACTAAACTCACCTCTCTGTCATATACCAGATCTGTTACAAAGAGGCTGCAAGAAATGACAAAGGCGTAGGCCATACCAAAGGCAATTATCACAGGAGATGAACGCAGCTGCTTCAGAGATGTCTTCTCAAAGGGATGTGAACGCACTTTAATCCTGGGAATATTACTGCCATCAAGAATCATGCTGCAACAAGTCACAAAATGTAGATGATATGCCAGTCAATGTCAGCCTCCAAGTAATTTAAACAGGCCTACATGTCTGAAGAAATATATTATGTATCAAATGCATTTGGTGGGTCTTCAGCTTCTTATTGTCTAGACAAATGTATTTACAGATTATAAAAATAATAACAGATCAATAATGTTTATATTACATGAAAGCAAACGATGCATACACCCAGGTTTAGATGACAAATAACTGGGCACATTCAACAGGACAAAATTGGGAATGGGGACTATTGGGAATACCTGCACACAGAAATGTTTACACCTTTAGCATTATTACTCAACATTTACTTACATTTTTAATATAAAGCGTATGACATCGATTAAAGATCTAAAATTGAGAGATAAATTCTATTGAGAAAGACATCTCTGAGTTTAATATTGGAAGTGTAGGACAGGTTGGAAAATACACTGCTATTTTCAAAATTTCAAATTTAAGGAAAATCAGAATCTTATTTATAAGTGGACTATCTTCTATTTGAGTAAAAAATGTAAAGAAAAATTGCAGTCATTTTCTAAAAACAGTTTGAAACTATTACAGGGGCTTCCTAATGCATTGACCAAGTTTCAGCTCAAAAGCTGTTGATCTGACAAGCAGAATCTCAACCAACTTCGGAACAGAATTAATAAACCTTAATCCAGATGTATGTTAAAATTTACAGCAAACAAGAACCTTGAACATGGATTTATGTCCGAAAATTAGAGACATTATTGTTTAGGTGATTCCAATTCTTCTTTTCCTCCATATATAATGGAGGAAAGGAAAAAACTGCCGAAATTCAGCACTGCAATACTCATTATATGAAATGGCTGACTGAAACATTGAAACCAGTTCTGAAGCTAGACCATTTCAGTTTATATATATTTTAATAAAAAATATTATGAAGTGAGAACTAGCAAATTCAATATAATCTCAAATCCATTGTAATATTTATGTATCAGATTATAGCAATTCATAATACCATGACAACAATTTTTAAAATTCCATTTCTTTTTCTGTACATATTTGAGTCTCTGACTTTAAAGTGCCCAGTACAATCTCTCACTCAGGCTATATTTACAGGCATACAGGCACTGACTGAAACCTTACTAATTCAAAATCAGGCAGAAGTTGTCACAAGATTGATTCCCCTCCCCCATTATTTTTTGCATAAATATTGCCACCTGACCCATCAACATCAACACCTTCAAAAACAAGCAAAACTTGGAAGAGACAATGTACAAAAGTGAACAAGATTTAAAATTTAAATTTATTAAAGAGAATTTAAAAATCATGAAATGAAATACATAATCTCAATCTCCTCCCCACAATACCAAGCAACTTAACTATGTCTTACATAGGTCCAGTTTTTGTTAAGCAATCATAATTATATACAAATTGGATACTGACACATTGGATTTCATATGGGGAGGAGGAGTAATATGTACATTAAATTGAAATCCTTGATTGACTGCCGATTGTGTGGCATTACATCCCACCTTAAACTCAAATGATAAAGACAATAAGTTCTTGTGATAAATGGAGAAAATTCAGGGAGTATAATTCTTAAAGCTAGTAATACACACACCTCTAATGACTTCAGTTGAATCCAATACCAGTCTAATCTAGAAACTACAATAAATGAGAGAAATGGTAATGGAATTATCTACAGTGATTTCAACTTTTACTGTATAATTTGAATAATGATATTTACAATCCCTATTTTCTTCACTTTTATGTACAGTTTACGACTAACCGTACAAGATATAGCATCAATACAACAAACACAAATAACATCTAATCAATTTCATTATCTACCTACTTAGGACATTAGCTAAGTAGCTAAAACTGGTCATACTCTCCTACTTAACAACCTTTTAACACTTATTCTAATACAGCAATACTAGGAAAAAGCCAATACACTTTATTACTTCAAATTGAACAATGAATATGAGGAACAACTTAGTTTTTGATAGAACAAAAATACTTATCAACTGTGCTTTGGAACATGATTAATATGAAGATAAAAAAGTAACTTCATTTTTCAGAAAGAAAATACGAAACAAAAGGTATTCATTAAACCATGGATGACCCTGCAAAATTTAATACAATTAAACAGATCAAGAAACTAATTTTGGATTAGAACAAATCTTTTCTCAAAAAAGGATATAACAATCTCAAAAAATAAAATAAAATCTACCCTCCAAAATTTCAAAGAACTTTTAACAAAATAAATGTTTATTGCTTACTTAATAAACCTATTCTTTTATACCTAATAAAAAGGTGGGGTAACAATATCAGAGTATCAGACAATAAATGTATTAGAATAAATAGTATCCAAGAAAGTTAAGTACTTCTCAAGTGCAATTGTTTAGCAAAGCTCAAAAACATTCCCCAACCTCTTCTCAAATCAATCACTGAATATGGACATTCAAAATGGTCACTTAATGTGTTTGAGGATATCACTATCCATGAGGAAATTCACAGAAGAAACACAAAACTGCCAAATTCCTTGAGACAACCTCCTCGTGAAAAAAATGTTCTAAATATTGAAATATTCATCACTACAACAAAGAAGAACTTCTGAGTCGGTAGTCATTAGACGTTATTACAAATCTTGGAACTATCCATCTTATAACAAACGACAAGACACTTTAAGACTCCCAATTACAAATTGAAGAAAATAAGTTAACATAAAAATCCCTCCAAATGCTATACATTTAACAGCATTGTTGAAAAATGGAATACTTTGCCCACAGAACGATGGGTGTAAAAAATTGATGCCTACAGAATGATGTGATGTAATGCAGATAACAGGAATAGATCATTATTAGTAATAGTTTTACAAAAATTGATACTAATTTAAAATATTCAATTTTTTATGCATTCTTATTTACACATATGAGAAGCAGTGTTCACATCAAACATTAATGACACCAGTTTGTAACTATCAGTTCACTGTAAATTAATTAATTAAAATAAATTAGAATTTATTCTGATGTAGATTTTTTTTACTATAAGTACATAATCTTTAAAATCTTTGAGTAAAACATACAAAGAAGAACAAAAAATTCATTACAATATTCAAGTGACAAACGACAGATGATCTCAAAAGAGAAAATGAAAGAAAAACATGTTTAATTCCTTCCTACGCAAAAGAAAGATGATAGTTCTGTAAGAATGAAGAAAGATGAAAGCACAAAACATGTGCTACTGCAGGATAATGAATAACGTCCCAGGATTATAACAACATATAAAATGAATGTAGACTTTTTAGATTATGCTATGAGGAAATCAGCTGATGCACATGGAACCCACCACACCTGTTACATTGCAATGCATATTATCTTCCAAAGGTCTTATAACGTGATTTAAGGTCACACATATTTTTTGAAAATTTGCAGTAGTTTTCATGCAATTATTTGTGAAATTTTTGCAATATTAAAAAAAAATCAAGAGCAAGAATTTCTCAAAACAATGGCTCCAAATTTTTTTTAAACTTTTGGTACAGTGCTAAATGTACTGTAACAAATGACATTAATGTCATTTTCACATATTTTTTTATTTTTCAAAATTTTCACAAATGTAACTTTAATAAGTGAGTGAAAAAACAGTTCTAGTCCAAAATCGGTCCTTTTTATTTTTTTACAAACATTAGTGCAGAAAGTATGGAACTACATGTGGAGACTGAAAATAGTTCAATACAAGGTCATTTGACCTCAAATCAGACAGAACCTTCTCTTTGATAAGTGAAAGAACAGTATCTGTCCTAGGTCTGCTCTTACACCCAGGTTTCCAGATGTCAGTTAACTTGGACTGCTCACAGATGGTTTACATTTGTTATTTGCCAGTAGTACAGGGCTGATGTAATTTACTTGTTTTGTTACTGATCGAGAATGTGCCTTCAATAAACAGAAGAGCAAGAAGTGAGGGGAACAGCAGCCAGTAATTTTTGTTATTTTGTGTTGAAGAATGTGTTCACTGTCAATTTTGTAAACAAGCATGGAATAATGGAACGAAATAAATGGAAAAGCATGAAATAAATGGAATATCACACATTCAGGTTCAATGACTTACAGAATTCTTTTGTCAGGTTGGTCTCCAAAAGACAGCAGAGGAGAGCATAATAGCAGATCTCATGCTATCAAACACAAAAACCTAGTTAAGATGAAAGAACACACAATCCTATCCAAAGAAAATCACACACTACTCTTCAGATTCTGTGAATTGAACACCATAACTTTGTGCAGCCAGTTCATAAAAAATATCTTGAATAGGAAAAGGTTATTATATACAAGCTTTACTCAAAGTTTTTTAATGAAAATTTCAACCTGAAAGAATATAGTCAAATAAAGTGGTGAAAAATCAATAATCGCAATGCTCCTGTGAAAGAAAATACAAAATGTTGTGGATTCCTAAAAAATCCTCCTCCTACAGCCACCAGTTGCTGAGATACAAAGAGATATGTATTTTTCATTTTTTTTCTCTCAGTTTCTATTGCATGTATCAGGCTGAAAAAAATTGTAGACAGGGGAAAATAGTTGAATTTGAAGGTATTTTTGTCAACCAATTTTAACGTCAAATTCAAATAGAAAGAATGTAATTTAATTTTTGAAATTGATTTTCAGCGTGATACCTTTGGAGTTTTTAGTGATATCGTCTCAGTTTTTTCTGTAGAATTTGTCTTATAACATTTTATGACTTTTTTTTCAGTTTTTTAAACAATGTGGACGAGTGAAAAAAATTAAAATAAAGTTCATCAGTTATATGAGTAATGCCTCCAGAAACTATTCCCTAAAAATCTCACTGGAAGTTATCTTCAGTGACACATTGGAAAATCTGAGATTGCATAAATAATGGACTGATCTGATTTTTGATGGGTGAAACAACAGTTTGTGATGCATCTCCAATTATTTTCCTAAGAAGTTAGTCAGATTTCCTTAAAAATTAAGCTCTTGGTTTAATATGTGATGGATGTACCCTTATTCATTTCAGAAGTAGCATTCAATTCAAGAATGTATGTCTAGTTACAGGATATATAAAGCAAAGGAAGTGGTTCACTGTCAATGTGAATAATGTTACTATGATGAAAATTGCTACAATATTGCACACAACAAGGTGCAAAATAAAAAAAATAGTTTTCATTGTGGCAGTCTCTCTGAACCCTTTCACTCCACAACTTCCTATGTTGGTTTTTGTGCTGAAAATATTCTGAAGGAATAATTGGTAGTTCGAACAGAGAGTCTCATCATACAGGAAGGGCACTTCCATCGAAATAAGGTTTAGTTTCACCACCCAGCCAACAGCAGTCTGTACCGTTGAGATAATTGCTGATAGCTGCACTAAATTGTACCTGGGAATCCTCAAAACTCAAATATACACAAATCAAAAAGTAAAACCAGAAAAAATTCTAATTGCACACTAACATGGTGAAACAGTGAGTTAATTCCAAAGTTGATTTCCTATGTATTTTGTAAGTAGTGGTGGCAATTTATCAACACATGAATGTAGCACTCTACTTAAAACTGGCAGCTCACTAGAATACCCTTATTTTTTGCAGAAAACTTACTTTCCCCACTACATTTTTTCACATATTTTCAGTATTAATTACATACGTAACCAATTATTACATTACATAACCCACAATATGAGAAAGTATGTGTGGTTGTAGCATCTCGAAAATAAAAAAAATAAAAAACAAAATTCAATTATCTTACAGTATGATTGATTATTATACTCACCTGTAATAAGCATTACTGAACAGATTGATTGCAATAGGCAAAGAGTGATGCATGGTGTCATTGTATATGAGTGTAACATTGACCTGAGGCACATGCAAGGCATTCACATTGAAGGCAGCCATGTGGGGCTGCAAGCTCAGCAATCTTGAGAAATTGCCATCATACATCATCAGAGGTAGTGGTGACTCAGCCTGCAATGTGCTGACAAGCCCATCCACATTGTAGCCTGTTCCGTTGTGCACTAGCATGTGAGCGTTTCTTTCATAAACACCTGTGAAATAGAGCAAATACCTAGAATGAAAGTAGCAAACTCTTTGTTAAAAAAACTTTTTAAATTTTTCTTTCAGTAAATAAAAGCTATTTTGAGAAGATCATTAAAAACAAATACTTGAAACTTATTTATGAAATTCCTAAATGAGATGACCTGAAAAGAAACATTTTATTTTCGCAGCACTATATCTGTTAATAACATACAAAACCAAGGTAAGCAAGTAAAAAAATACTCTATTGCATACAAAACAATACTTTCACTCACTAGAGTTAAGAGTAAGAGATGGGAGAGTTTCTGTAGCCCTCTTCCAATCATCCATATATTGCATCATCACCCATGTGATGATAAATGGTAATAGAAGCTGTGCAGCTACTTTTCGCCAGTCCCGGATGGTGCGCAAAACTCGTATTTTTACTAATGCTGCCAATGTTTGGTAGGGACTTGGTTGCAAGGTGATCTGCTCAAGAGCCAACCCCTTTACAGCTTGTTGTGCACTCACTACCAGGGGCACACCATCTGGCTGTCCCGGTGCTGGTGGTGCAGCTCCACTGCCTATGACATTCTGTTGTGTCGTCCCTCGAGCTTCTCTCTCTGCTACAAACAGGCAATCCATCTTCAGAGCAGCAAATATTGGCACATATGAAATGATGAAATATATAAAAGAATAATTCAAGCTTGGCTAATTACATCAGTCAACACGATTTCCAGCAAAATGAATTAGTATTCATAATCTTTGAAATTTCCAAATATATACGTTTCAATATATCGATTGAATTGAATAACTTCCCCAGAATATGCAAAGAGTTTTATAACACCTACTTTCAATGATTGTACTATTGTAACAAATTCCTGACCTATTAGAATTGTGAATAACATTAACAACATTTTTTAAAGCATTGTATTAGATCAGATTGATGTTCAATTAGAGGGAATAATCATTGCAAAACAATATTCACAAATTATTCACTAACATTTTAAAGATTTATTTAGCATCAAACACATTTTCAAATTCTTATTCTTATAGCACCATTGTCATCTCTAGTCAAACCAAAACTCAAACTATGCAATAACTAAGCCTCCACTGGCAGCCCTGTGTCTTACAACCCTTCACCCCCCCCTCTTCCCGCCCCCACCCGCTGCCGACTGGCTCTGTTCTTAAACAAGACAATCCCAAAAATCCGCAGAACTTTGTTTTCCGCCCGGAAGCTGCAAAGTATGTACAACCCAGTTTGTTTACTCATCTGGCATGCAATGTCTATCCTGTATATAATATTTGTATTAACTTATCCCTAATCGTTTATTACTATAATTTATTTCGAACTTTAGTTCTGAGGATGATCGCTACGTGATTGAAATGATCATCAGCCTAATAAATTGTTGATACCAGACAAAATCTTTTATTTATGATTCTTAAATAAAGAAGGTATCTACATCACCAGTGATCTAATTAATGATAGAAGTTACATTCAAATCAATTTTGTGCATCATTTTTCACCAAAAAGTCTGATATTTACAACACATCATGTTAGAAATTGAGTGAAAATGGAAAAGAAAAAAGGAAATTTGTTGCTACAAAGTGTAATAAGTTTAAAAAAAATATATTCAGAAGGTATTGTGAGGTCACTACATAGGAATTCTTAATTCTAGACATTGAATCTTCAGTACATTTGAGCTTGCAATGGAAACCTCCAACATATGTTTCATGTAGGATATAAAAAAAAACTTACGCTTTATGCTACCATCAGGTAGGCTGCCTGGGGTCAAAACAGCACCTTCATTTTGCAGACTTTGATATGATGTGCTTTTTGACTGAAGGGACAAAGAGCGACTTAAGGCCCTGTTTCGCACCATCTTCTTGGAAATATTGTCAATGGTATTGTCTGATTCTTCTCCTTCCTCCTCATCCAACTCTAATTGCAGGAAAACCTGCAACAAAATAATCCTTCAGGGACAGGAAACCATGCTTTACTCTTACTAGAAATGCAAATTTTAATTCTTTTGCCATCTTCTTCCTTTGCAATCCTGGGAGGGGGAGGGGGGGGGGGAATTTAAATAAAACGTTTTAATGCAATTGCACAATTTGAAGTTTTGTAATTTTACTAATCAGATATAATGGAACTTAACTCAAAATTATTGATCATTTTTATAGATGTGTGTGCACAGCATGTGTACGAGCATACATATGCTTATTTAGTATTATTTATTTAATCATTTTACTTTAAAATCTAAATTAAAATTACAGCAAATTTTGAAATGAAATGTTTAATGTTGTCCAAAATTGAATGTAGAAAGCACAAGGCAAATTTAAACAGAAATAAAAGCATAAAAACACAGCACTAGTTCTGCAAAAAGACAAACCATAAAGTGGATTGAGATCCAGACTAATATGTAGAGGAATTATCTCATCAAAAAACAGATTCAAAATTTCAGAATCCCATAATGTGTATTTCAGATCAAAATTCAAAAACAAGTTTTATAAATAACAATAACAAATTTTCTATTTTCAACATATTCACAAAAGCAAAAACAACAAACAAATTGACAAAAGGGACTTCTTTTGGGAAATTGTTCAAGTGTTGATCAACTGCATGAAAATCTTTGTTCCGTGGCCCATGCTCTTTGGTATATAATCATACTTCTTAGAAATTTACTGTCAGAATCAGAAGAAAATTAATAAAGGCAAAATTGAATTAATAACAAAACACCTTTGCACTACATTCCACATCTGACCACCCTACAGACAAGTAAACTGTCTAAATTTCAACCTCCATCTATTGTTTTTAGAAGGTGCTCAAGTGTGTTGACACTGACTAAAATTCAATCAATAATAAGCAAGCAGTCACTTGTTCTGGTAATTGGACCCCTGATTCTGGTGAATGTTTTGAGCTGTTTCATACCCCCAAAAAAGTCAAGAGATATTATAATATAACAATTATATCTATCATCATCATCGTCATCATCATTATTATCTTGAAGGCCAAAAGTGCCTTGTCACTGCCGCCATGACATTCTGTCCTCCGCTGTTCTTTTCTTTCTTCCTGTTTTGTCTCTTTCTTCCTGTTTTTCCAACTATTTTACATTCCGAAATTGTATTTATGAATTCATTATGCCTACGAAAGTGTCCAAAGAATTTTGCTTGTAGTGTAATGCACGTAAGTGTGTGTTAGGGGAGAGAAAGAGACAAGGATGAGGTTGAGAAAGGAAATATAGCACATAAGCTGTGTCCCATGTTTTTATGGTATTGAGCATTAGCCTGGTATTTATCGGAGAAATCAAGAAAAACTACAAATCAGAGCAGCTGGAATTCTCTTCCAGATGGCAGCTGGATTCAACATAGCTATAAAGTCTGGTTCTGCAAATCTGCCACAGCCAGGCATTTCAGTGGAGACAGTTGTTACCCTGAGCTATCTCAGCCAGTCCCATCTCCTGTCTCTCTCTCTCTCTCTCTCTCTCTCTCTCTCTCTCTCTCTGTGCCTCTCAGTCTCTTTCTCTGTCTGTCTCTCTGTGTGTGTATCTCTCTCTTTTTTTGTGCATGGGGTAACTTTATGATAAATAGTTTCTTTTTTCTTTTATGAGAGGAGAGTACTATGTGATTGACATATTTGTTCATTCGTTCCTCAATTCGTCCAATATTATTGTAAACAAAGATGCATTTACCATCAATAATATGATGCAATTTGCTTCTGACTACATAAGACACTGGCTACAGTGAATCCTGGATGCTTATTGTTATCTAACATAGAAAAAACTTGTTTCACAAGATATGCCAATCTTGATAGCTTCATGTAATGTGACAATGCATCTAGAAGAAGGAAGAAATTGAAACATCAGAAATCTCCACCACTCTTCCACTTCTTACAGTGATATGGTTAAAGAAAGCTAAAGAAAGTGATGGCCATCAAATACAAAGAAATTTATGAAATGGGCCTGATCACTGAACAGGTGACTGCTTATAAGAGAATGTTTATGTGCTTTATGGAAAACTCATTTCCACAGAAAAATGGATGAATGTCACATTAGAGTTTCCATAAGATCAACCAATGAAAATACTCTCATTAGAAGCAGTTGGTTTCAGCTAAAAATAAAAATCATATCTACTCTTATTTCAGTCAAATAATGAACATTACAATCTCCTTTGAAAGAACAATAACAATAAGCTCTAGACTCTTAAGATAATACTCATGACATCATAGAGATTTGAGAATATATTAAGATCTTACCTCTTCCAAAGTAGTCATAGCCACTCCGTAACTACAAATTCCAAGACGCAAGGTCTTCAAGGCAATTTCTTGTTCAATGGCTTCAAATAAAGTGGGGAAGCGGTTGACAGCATTGTGAGGAAGAATAAAGGACAACTCTCGCCCATGCCGACGTGCCTTCTCTGCCTGTGTCACATGACTGGTCACCATTTGTACAATAGCTTGCTCCCTTGCTACACCATCAAGCACCATCCTGATGTACATTATAGCGAATAAATATTATTAAACATTCCTGCACAATCAAGACACTTCATCTTAATATATAAAATTATATGTATGTATGTTTTCCTAGTACAACTCCATTGAGCTAGGAAGGAATAATCATTAAAATACTACAAATTTTCTAGTAATTAATTCACAACTGCCATTAGTGTTGGCAACCTTCCAACTACTCCAGCCCTTAAATCCAACCCCACATTTTTATAGGGGAAGCGGAAGTAACAGGAGCATGGGGTAATGGGAGTCAGCAGTAAATTCTCGATAAACATTGTAAACGAACCATATTGAAAGGCAGAAACATGTGCCTCTACCCACCATTACTCATGATAACTATAGGCAGGTGATTACTGTAGCCAAAGAAAGCTTACATTGGTGATTATCACATTAATATCAGGAACCAGGTGAGTGATTGATGTTAGGAAGGATTCTCAGAAAATAAGGTCTTATTTTCCATGAACTTGATGATTTCTGGAAGAATTAGAATTTGTTGGAAGGGAAGATTTTCTGCAAATTATTTGATATCAATTGTGAGTAATTTTAAAATGTTATATACATTTTTATGAGCAGTTATAGTAAAACTGTACTTGAGGTAATGGTGGTTAGTGGTTCTCATTACCCGCAGAGTGATCACCATGGCCCAAACAAAATAATTTCTTGATCTGAATCAGTTTGTTTGCTAGCAATGCCCAGAAATCACAAACAACAACCAATGAAGGAGAATGATAATCACAGACGGCTACAGCAAAGAAAGCAATAATTGAAGGTGAAAGGTCAGTAGAGCTGCCAGTGTCCACAGTATCCCATTTAGCACACACCAGAAAAGGAACAAACATCTAATATTTTAACAAAAACTACTAATATTTTTCTTTTTCTTTATATTTCTTTAGCGACTCCCATTACCCATTTCGTGACTCCCTTTACCCGCATGGGGGGGGGGGGGTTATGGGGGTCAAAAGCAAATTTTTGGAAATTCAATATTTGAAAGGGTTTTGATGAATTTTTGTGATAAAAAAGCACGAGCTTAATTACTAATGTGAGATATAACAGCACATAGTTGTTCATAGGAGCAGATAGTACTGATTTATACTGAAAATACAAAAGGTGACCCTCATTACTCCCGCTTCCCCTACATATGTATGAACTAACTGAAGCAGATGCTTTAAATTATTTTCAAGTATTTTCTTATGTTGAAAATGTCTACTATGCAAGATCTTAATAAAAAGAAAGTTAAACATTCAACTGTCTGTCTTTTCATCCTCAGGCATACTATGTGAAAAATTATCAATTAAAAATATAATGAAGTAATAAAAAAAATACAAAAAATGTGTAATTGCAACACTTTTGTTGGATGTTCTTTCTATGGCCACTATCCACCACACAATATTGTGTTAGAGAACCTAATCTGACCATTCCCAGAAGAGTAGTTTCAGGCAGCTTATTAAAGACAATTTGTTCATTTGCATTCTAGGACTAGCATTATCTCAAGTGCTATACATGATAAAATTATCGTATGGGGTTGGAATATTTCGATGAACTTTCACCTGTGTGATCCAAGCCCTTTACCACATACTGTAAACAGCAGAGTCTGGGCAATGCAATTTAGAGCAACATGTGTTATATATCACCTGGATGGTGTTGGCCACCTTATTAGTGTTACATTTAGCTATCATCACAGCTGCATTGTAAAAAGCTGTTTCAAGAATGAGCTGTTTTTATGACTAATAGGTTGTTGTGAACAAGTTTGTTCTCATAAATTCTTAGTTACCGATGGTCTTGCAAATAAGGAATAGAACTTGACGTTGTTATGCTCATATTTAAAACTACCCCAATAGCTTTGCAGGTTACCTTAACATTGAAATTATTCTAACACAGAAAATAACTTAGGTAATATAGTACAATGCTTTGTAAAATACATCTCATCAAACACACTGAAGAACTTTACATACAATTAAGAATTTTATTGCATTATTTGTGTTAATTAACTTGTGTAATTGTTATCATGTCCTAATAACCAAATCACTTAGCATTTGAAAATATTGAAAACATATTATTTTTCAATGTATGTAAAACAGTGATGGACGTATTTAGAAAAATAAAATAATTTCATTCTGCAGTTGAGTTTTATTGTCTTCAATCATGCTCTAAGGATACATTTTATGCCGGAAAGGCAGTCATTATAGATTAAAGTGTTGCCTAGGTATCAACATTTTAATGACCTAAGAATTAACTTTGAATTGCAGTAATTTCTGTCAATACAGTCATTGAATTGCAGATAATTCAGTGTTTCACCACTGTAAAGGAAAGGTAGGGGTCAGTTCTCCACCAGAGGAGCAAGACATCAAAGGAAGGGGTCTAGCCATGAGTGATGGAAGAACAGATACAGGTTACTTGATTCCTATATAAAGTTAAATTGTATGTTTTTAGTACAATTATTTTAGAATTCTTATGCAATTGGGCATATTATTTGCCTGTTGGATGAAACAGGTAAAGAAGTAAACATTTGTTGATGGTTTTTTGGATCATAAATGTTAAAACCACAAATTGTAATTATTTTGAAAGTGTTATATTTCTTTAAGATGCCTTAAATGTACAACATAACAAATTTTGAAAGGGTAATATTTTTAATTGAATAAAGGTAATTTAATTTTTCATCAATTTTTAAAAAGTAAGTCAAAATGAACAAATTCTCACACTCCTACCATTACTAAAAATATCAGACTTAAGCAAGTCCAAGAAGTCTTGGGAGATAAAAGGTCTTCTTATATTAGGGAATATATTTCACAAACATTACTTGTTACCAAAACAAGTAAAATTCTGTTAATTACTTTTTGTAATACTTTTATCAACTTAACACAATTGGAGGAATAAAAACAATTCTAAACATCCAATATCTGTTAAAGATTTAACAGTCCACAGACAGATGAGAACAATTGAAAAAAAATTAGATGAAGCTAAAGGTGGCGTAGGAGAACACTTACTCCCAGAAATGGTATTTCTTGTTTAAATGTTTTTTTTAGATGGTATTATGAAAAATACTAAACAACACATGTCCATTAATGAAAATAAAACCCCATTACTTGCATATTATGCATCTATTGATGTTAATAAGAATTTTGTAATACTACACTGTTACACATAATATGCCTAAATAAAGAAATAAAAAGCCACTCTACAGCAAGGGGCTGATAAGAACTTTAATAGATGTAGGTCATTAAGACCAAAAACACAAAATGAGTTAAAGTAAAAAGGCTTATGAGTACTCATAGACTTTGTTCTATATACAATGTTGATAATTTTATTTTTCTATATTATGGATGTGGCTGACAGCTAAAGAACATTCCAAACAAACTATTACATATCACTTTCCACACAACCCTTCAGCCCATACACTATAAGTACCAGTTTCTACTTACGTCAAATGATAACCTATGCCAAACTTATTCTTGAGGAAGAGGGAGGAACCACAACAACGCAAGCGACCTTTAGAAATAATTGCCTTCCGATCAGCAAGGATATCAGCTTCATCCATAAAATGAGTTGTCAGCAAAATTACCTGAGAGTCAACAATAAACATATACACAAAAATGTAATCAAAATGGAGAAAAATTGAAAAATGATAAGAACGAAATATAAATGTTCTGATGCAAGCCATTTGGTTGCCCTTTTTATTATTATTCTCTATGTATTATAATTATCAAATTGTATCTTTTCATTCAAAGATTTTCAAAATTCATTACATTTCAATATAAATGATGTAATACCTTTCCATGTCTTCGATTCTGCAGCAATGACCACAAGTAACGGCGAGAATAAGGATCTACTCCAGCAGTTGGTTCATCAAGAATAATAATCTACAATTAAAATAGAATTAAACAATTTATTAGCCATATTTCAAGTTTTTTTTTTTTTTAAAGAGTTTAACATATTCTTTAATATGGTTTTACCTTTGGGTCTCCTATTAATGCAATACCCACAGACAGCTTCCTCTTCTGACCTCCACTAAGTTTCATGGCAAATGTATTTGCTTGATCAGAGAGACCAACCTCATCTAGCATACGTGTCACTTCATACTTCATCAAAGAAGGGGGAACACCCTAAAAAAATACCTGACTTTAAAATCACCCACAAAACAAATGAAAAATTACTTCTTCCAACCCAAAATCATTCTTATTTACTAGTTGTATGAATGCTTACTAAATAAATATATTATATTGTATTACATTTTGTGAGTCTTTTTTAGTTTGAAAATAATTTTACTAAGTGCTAATAACCAACTCTTTTCACTTTCTATTTAGCAGTAATGCTAAAAATTATGCATCTAAATAAAGGACTTTTTCAGTTGTTTATAGTCTGTATGATAAACTTTAACAATTAACTTAAAAATAACACTATTATTATAACATTTTGGAACTTGTCAATAAGAAATAAATGTATAACTTTTCCCCTCAAACTAACCTTAACAGCTGCATAAAATTCTAAATGTTCTTGGGGTGTCAGTACATCAAACAGAATATCTTGCTGTGGACACACGCCCGTCATACTACGAATGGCATACATATCACTCGGACTCCTATAAATACAACAAAACACAACATTACACACTCCATACGGGAACTTAAGGAGAAGATGAGAAGCAAAGGGATAAGGCCCTCTAATATACAGAATTAACATCTTCGAAGATCAAGTGTCCCTCCTGAATCAAGAGTTTTCTTTATATATTTTTACCTTATATTTAACAACTAATTTGTCATGAAAGTTCATTACAAATTACCTTATGTCATAGCCAAAAGTATAAGCTGTCCCTGAAGTTGGATATGTGAGACCCGTAAGCATATTAAACACTGTAGTCTTGCCAGCACCATTATGACCCAAAATAGCTGTTATCTGACCTTCATAAATGGTTAAATTGATACCTGGAAAGCAGATGTGATTAATTATGGGTTCCCATGAGGTCTGCACAAAACAATACATAATAACTGCTTACATGATTGTCATTTAAGAGAGTTAATTCAAAAGAAAATGTATTAGAAATCGAACATACCACTATAAATTAAGCAAATGAAGCTCTTTCATACACTTTTTTAAGAGAAGGAATTATTTCAAAAATATATTGCTCAGTATCATGTTATTTAAAAATTTATATCAATTATCAGCAGCAATGATTTCACTATTACAAATACAGCATAGAGAAAAATTATATCCATCTTACCATCAACAGCTTTAACATGTTTCATTCTGCAACATTTTCTGAAGGTCTTCTCCAAATCCACAATTCTGATAGCTTCCCTTCCTTTCATCTCATGAGTAACAGGTTCTACATCTTGTGCATTGTCATCATTTGCATTCAAAGATCCTGATTCACCATTTAATGTGGGGATCTACGAACAATTGTTCATAAATATTTTGTAAATATATCATTATATACAGTTATTTCTTGTCAATTTTGAGCAAGGTAAAGAAGATACCTTTCTCCATGCTAAGGAAATGCACCATGCCTTTCTAACACTTTGAACAGCACATTAAAGCTAATCATTTCAACCCACTTCCCTTTGGAATCATCACATTTTAAAGTAATGGAGATACACAATGGTACAGAATTTCTTGGGCTAGTTAGTTTCTAAATCTCTTTAGTCCGGGCTAGCTTTTCAGTTTTCCTCAACCCTTTTCCCAGCTGCTACCTGTTGACATCTCAAAGACAGTTTCTCACATTTTCTAAATTTTTTGGTCCCCTTATTTTATGTATATTATTGAAGAGCAAACCTTAGTCCTACACACAAATGTTCATCAAAATATTTAGAGCCATTTTTTAGTAAATGTTTAAGTGTTTCTTGAAAAGCATAATTTTGAGCTATTTTCAGAGAAAGGTTTTTATCGAGAAACTTTATAAAAAATTCTTTGAAGCACTTGTTCTCACAAATGCAATGATGTGTAATAAATGCCTGTAATGTAAATATTAATGATGTGAGAGACATTTTAAAAAAAATCACATTAGTGTAATTTTTTAACAGTTAAAGGAATACCACAAAATAGCTATTATGTTTATTTAGTGCATTGAGGACTCTCCATATCAACAGTTTAAAGAAGCAAATTTGAGCCATTTTAAGGAAAATGTTTGCATGTTTCTGAAAATTCATAATTTTGCACTCATTTTTGCAGAAAAACATTGAGCTTTCAAGAAACTTCTTAAGAAATCATTTGAAGTGATGGTACTTACTTCAAATGATTTCTTAAGAAGTTTACTGAATACTCTTACTAAAACTACTCTATAAAAAGTGGAATACATCCAAATGGCCTTTATGCCATTTTATTCAGTACACTTATCACTATTCAAACAAACAAAATTTGGAGTTGTTAGTGAGTAAATATTGTTTTTAATATTGCCTATATTTCACTCAAAATCACATGAAAACTAATATTTTCATAAATGTACATGATATTAATTAAGGAACCAATGGTGGAGAAAAAATTACTATTTTCAATTTTTATAGTTATAGGAAGGTACTAAAAAATTAAAACACTTGTAATTGAAAACAATTCAGAGTTAACAGTGAGAGTAACAGTCTTAAGCCATCTTTGTCGAAAATTTGAAAATGTCCCACGTGTTTCATGGGAAGTACCCCTAAAATTCCAAGAATTTTTTTTTACAGTCTTGAGCTTAAAGTCTTGTTGATTACAGAAGATTTATTTTGAAAAAAGTCCTACAAATGTTTAAGGCACTAGGATTTCAGACATTTTGAAAGAAAACATTTTCTACGCAATAATTTCTATGCTCCTCTGCTCAAATATCTCAACTGTACACTTCATGAAGAGGAACTTCTTTACCCTGAATATTATTTAATAACACATAAAACGTTCAGATACCCTTCTGATTGTTTTCTTAGGACACCAATAGCTTTTCGTAAAACAGAACCAGGGATACTGCTTCACACCATATTCACTGGGAATTACTGAATCAAGATAATAAGCAAGTAAACCATAGCCAATAATATCCACAAGCATCATGATAATGCTTCCTCCAAAAGGCATTCCAGGCCCAGACCACAAGTTGTTTAAATGGACACCATGACCAGCAATATCCAACATCAGAGCCTGCACAATAAACACAATGAAACTTATTGATAATATATCCAAAGATTTCCCTTCACAAAGGATTTTTACACGTGTGTTTAATTTGGCGAAATTAAGTTTTAATGTCACACGTCACAATTCTATTATCTTTCATCCATAACATGAATAGCACTTTACCTTGTCAACTGCCATTCCAAACCCTGTTGTGCTTATAAGAGACATCAGCCAGAGATAAACAGGATCCATGTTTTCTAGATACACCTGTAGGTAATACAAAGCTCCCATGCCATAAACAGCAAAGCCTCCAACCACTCCAGCAGTCTGTGACAAGAAAATCAAGACAATTAATCTTAGGAACAACCTAGTAGTCGCTTCCTGAATGTATTGCAACTCCTTGCTAGATTGCTTTTGTGTTTTATGAATCAATATAAATGGATTTGCAATTACATGGTCTTCAAATTCTTTTTGTGTTTTTATTTAATTAACAAGTAACTCTTCACACTTTCATTCAAAGATTAATTACAGTGAACAACCATTCAGCTATTTTAATCAATCATTACTTTCTCCGATAAAAACTAAATGCATTAAAATTAATGAGATTTTCTTCTTGAATGATAACACATGATACATTTTGAAATATTAGGAATCCAAAGTTCTTAAAATGAGGAGATAACACTTGTAATGTCAAAATACAATTTTTTCTTTCATTAAGGATACAAAAATTTATTAAAAGAAGTGGCTAAAATCTGAATGAATAAAATGTTCATTTAGCATTATAAAATGAACTTTTCCTCATTAAATAAGAAAAAAAGAGCAGTATTTTCCCAAATACAAGTAGCAAAAGAAGATAAATATTAATACTAAGACATTCCCACAAAAATATAATGTCATTTCAACTAATGGAATAATACAAATTCTAAATGACTTATGTTTATATAAATCATAACTTTATCCAATAATAATAATAAACTTAAACTAATAATAATGAACATTAATAAAGCAAATAAAAATGTTATGCAGTTAAAAAATCTCTCAACTGCTTGAGATGCTGATTCTCTTATTCAGACAATTTCACATATAAGTGGGTTTCGCTGAAAAGTGTTCTGATAAAAGTTTGTTCAGAAAGTATGGAGGAAAATTATGTGTACAAGACAACTACAATTGACTCTTACTCTCCCTTCAGAGTTTTTCACTTCCTTAGATTTATAAGATGCGCATGTGTATCAAAACATCATTCTCTCAACAATTTCTAGATTATAAATTTTTTTAACAGGATTTATTTAACATTAATGAAACAAAAGTAAATTAATTTATATGCTGAAAATTTTCTAGACAAACTTCACTTAAGAGTGCTAAAATCAATGAAATAAAAAAACAAAACATTTGATTACATTTTAAGACAGTAAATCTTAAAATTCACCATTCTCTTAATTTTATATAATATACAATATTTAATTATACAGATAAAATTAAAAATGGCTAAACTAATCTGATACTGAAATAAAGAAGACACATAAAATGAATGAAGTTTAGTCAACTTTTTTAAATCAAACAGAAGCATCACAATGAGAAAGATCTCCAATACATGCAACAGATTTAGGAAAGATGTGAAAGGTTGGTAATGAGATTATTTAAGAAGCACAGAAATCTTAATAATTGTATCTACTTTTTAACCCATACAAGCTTTCACAGCCAGTCAATGTTGGTACCAGGCTGATGGGCAATGGTTCTGGCAAAACGGTTCTTTCAGATGTTTCATCTGTATCTACGTCTTCAGAGTCAATGGGGCAAGGGCATTATACCCTCCTGATCAGCTTCTAGCTATCTACTTTGCCCCAGTGGCACTGATGATCTGCTGCAGGTACAAATGAAATGACTGAAGGTATATTTTGACTGAACCATGGGTTCGTAGGCTTCCGCGGCCGGAGTCAATGTATTCTTGGCTATCCGGTCTCAGTTGATTGGACTGACGTTTTGGCCATCTTGCCGTTCGGCCGTCAGTCCAATCAACTGAGACACGGCTCATCCCGGATAGCCAAGAATACATTGACTGAACCATGACTTATTACTCTGTAAGTAATATCAATATACTTATTTTTTGCTCACATGTTATGATCATGCTAATATGAATTTATTTTCTCAATCAAATAAGTAATGTATTGTTTTGAAAAGGAAATTGCCACACAAAAGTGTTTGAATAGTAGTTTGTATTTTTGAAGAATTCCTCATCATAAGATTTTAAAAATTACAAATAATTTATTTTACTTGCACCATTCAGGTATGCTATTTACTGAAACTGAACCTAAATAAAACTTGTTTCTGATATTCGTTTCCCTCTTCGAATTGATATCCGGGTAACTGGAGAGTATCATTATTTCAATTTAGTAATTCTCTTTTGTCAACCCAAACATTTTCTTCAATGATAGGGAATTTAGTAGTTATTCACTCACCCGGCCCTTGCTGAAGAAAGGGGCAATCATGAAGGCCATCATGACGATGGTGAGGCTGAAGAGGTAGATGAGAATGAAGATGAGGAACAAGTTGGAGTGCTTGAACACCTCCAGAGATGCAATTAAGATAATTGCCACCACAGCAATAACAAGCACAAATAGACCATAGATAATAAACCATGAGAGCCTGCATGAAAAGGAGAAGCCTGTTAGGCGGCATCACAGTACACAATGGTTACACATGCTTATTAACAGGGTTGGATTTACAGACAAAATAAATTTAACATAGACATTTTCATGAGAATGTACCTATCTCTATGAAGCATTATTAAAAGATGAATGTACATATTTAACTTTGGCTAGACGTACATGATGAGCATGTACACCTGGAATTCTCGAAACCAAGTCTTAACCCATCCCAAGATTCTCCTGTAACTCGGAAAATAGATGCTTTACTGTTCCAAATAGGATTACACCACAGGCAAGAGAGTAATACCATTACATCATCTGGCAAGGAGCAAACCAATAAAAGTGGTAAGACAGTGTCTATTTATTAGGGTCCCAGTTGTTAGTCCCAACAAATTAATTCATAATTCATCAAACAGGTATTTAAAAAGTTGATGATCTTTATCCAGATATCACCATTAGTTCAAGGCCTCAAAATTATAGAGGGGGTTTAAACACATCCCTCTAATACTTATCTTGAAACAATACTTTATATACCCTTTTATTGCTAGTGAACTATGTGCCTATGTGTTGTTAGGGAACTCTTCAGATACGGTACATAAAAAGTAATTATTTATTTCTTACATTAGACCCAATATTTAACTACTCAACTTATTAGATAGTTATGTATTTCAGGAAATGTGCATCACATGCCGAGGACCAAAAATCTACTGATCAAAACCTTGTTTACAGACTATCCAAAAAACTTATATCCAGATTTGGAAAGAAAGCCTGCTTTGTTTCTTTTTGTGTTGTTAAATCAGTTTTTCTTCATTAACATATGGCTTTTAAGTTAAAATACATTCTTTAGGTTAAATTAAAATAAGATTTTCATCTAAATAAATAATTTGAGTGTCTGTCAGTAATTTAAAAATAACTATCTTCTTATAATCCCTTATGGATATTACATGATTAAATTATTTTTACAATCTTCGCCTGTCTTTCTGTCTGGGTTAATCTTCAGTACCACTTAACCTATTTCAATGACCTTTTCACTGAAAAGTACAGTATTTTGTCAAGCATAATTCTGGATATTTTTTAGGATTTTTTTTATTACTTATATAAAGAAAATAAGGTTTGTTTTGCATACAAATCTACAATGCTATTCACCTCATGAAATTTTCTTCACATGATCTTCAAAAGAGAAGTTACTGTTTACTTATGATTTCATACATCTACTTCCATCTCCTTATTCTACCCATTAAACCTAAATTGAAGAGAAGACATTTTCAAGTTTTTGCCAATATCTTGAAAATGGTTACGAAATTTACCAATATGAATGAAATGTTCCTGAAAGACCATATCATTTCTCAATGAACTAAATGTATTTTAATTCATTTCAATAGTGCAATCAGGCCTTTAGTATGCCAGTGTCAATATTATAACTGGATTTGCTGTGAGTTGAGTTTGCAACAATGCATCTGTTAATAACATATACTAATAACAATTGTAGCAAACGTGGCCGTACTAGGTAGAGCAAGGTGCACGTAGAGGGAGAAGGCGGGGTTGGATAAGTGGGATCGAGCTGGGATAGGTGGGAGCAGTGGGCTTGGCAGGGCATGGCAGGGCACAACAACGCGTGGCAGGATGGGGAGGGGGGGGGGGGCAGGGCAGGAAGGGATCATGAGGTATGGTAGAGTAGAGCTGAGATACACTGCAGATAGAATTCATTCCTTTCTCTATCAAAAATATGATTGTGACAGAGAAATATCCAGGTAATGCAGGGTACTTCAGTTGGTTTAAATTAATTCTATTGGATTAAAATAAGGTTTAATGGTTAACATCATTTGTTTGTTAAAACCATATTGCCTCGTTTTTAAAAGTAATTTTAATACCTAATTTTTTAACAGTGTTATTTAGATATCAATTTTCTTGAAATAAATAAACCGAATTTATTTTTAACAATAGTGAAAACCACGCTATTTCAGTAAAGATATAATACTTCCAACAAGAGTTAGGCGAGAAAAATATTAAAACATTATGTAAAACCAAAAAAAAATTCAGTACAATAGATATATAAGATAGTGTGTTAACGTCCCTGAAAAGAATCAAGGGCGAATGGGAAGATCGTGCTTTTTTAAACAACAAGATTGAAACAATCATTATTATAGGGGTAATTAATTTAATTTTAGGGTAAAATTTTATTTCTTTCATTCAAAATTGAAGGGCTCAGTAGAACAAGAAGCTATCTCCCATTTTTTTTGGAATTGAGTTACTAGCACTAAATATAGTAACTTCAAATATTATTCTTTTAGTGTAATGTGTTATTTGAATCCAGTACAGACTTAACTGCAAATGCACTGCATTTTAAAGTTGAAAAAAGGACTGACATATATTATTAAAGTTCTACCAAAATCCTCAAAATCTCACAACCTGATCAATGTGCCCCTTATTCTCCTGCACCCTTAAATTTAGAATTAAATCAGCTAAAAGTAGTAAACTTCTAAAACTTAAACATAATTTAAGAGATGAAATTCAGTCCCAATCAGACAGATGGGAAGTATAATATGCTTACAATTGACATGAAGAATTCTAATACTCAAGTTTGCCTAATTTCTAGTATTCTCAACTTGTGACATTATCTTTTGCAACGATTGCCTTTTTCACTTACTTCTTTTTGAAATTTTAATAAGATGAAAATAAAAATATAATACTGTAGAAATGAACTAAAACAAAATGTGTTTCAAAAACTCACAATATCACACATTTCAAGATATTTCCCCATTACTGGAAAGTCTAACAAACAAAATAATACATTAATTTACGAATGTAGTTTTCCCTTAGTTTTGAACATGCTCTCAGATCCAGAGTGTTAACTTGTTTTATCTTAAGTCTCATTTAAGAAGATTGTTGTACATATGTGAAGTAGCCACAACATGTGATAGATTTGAAATGTTACAAAGTATTATGGTACAATATAATACATGTGTTGAAGTTAAGTGAATTGTGAAATTATATGTCAGTCATTTTGGCATAACATCCTTAAAGACAATCAATAAATTTGAAAATGAATTGTCACAACCTTTATATTAACACAAATCTAAAAACCATGTCTTGTTCAAGAAAGTGACTGTAGGATTCTCGCCCGCATTAGTTTTCAGTAATTATTATAGCGCATTTTATATGATTTTACCCACAGATTTGTACAGTGAAACTTGTCTTAAGTGGCCACAATCGGTTCTGGTGAAACATGACAAGTAGTTTCGATGCCTGCATAATGAAGATTTTTAGATTATGGGAAGTGGTTATCTGTTCGAAGTTTGTTATTTATAATTATGTCAAGAATGCTTTACTTCCTTTGCCTTTTTAATTATTACAAAATTCTGAATGTGTACAACAAAATATATGTTAAACAATTCTTATACAAAATCATTAAATTCCATGTTTCTACTCTTTTCTCTTTTCACACAACTCATTGTTTCTTTCCACTGCTGGATTTGATTCTGAACTAGTTTTTTAATGTGCAATTAGCACCCACAGGAACGTTTAGAAGATGCGTGAAAATTATTTACTATTATTAGTTACACAAGCATGATTTTTCTGTCGAGGGGGCTAGAGGCGTAATGTCCAGATGAATATATTTTCTTTTACAGAATTCTTCAATTATACAGACATTAAAATGTAATTTTATCAGAAAATTTATAGTCTATTCAATAGAGATACAGAATGACTTTTGTTACTACAGTAAATTAATAAAACTATATTTGTGAATACGTCATGCTCTAGCCCCACTAAAGGGTTGCTGAAGCACCATGAAATCCCTCTTAGGTAAACCGCTGATTATCTGAAACATAAATTAACTCCTTTGTGAGATAAACGTTTCATAATGCACTTTGATGCAGGAAGGTACTGAATAAATAGTAATCTCCAATGGGCTTCTGCTTCTAACAATGTAATGACAAACTCACACTCATGAGAAAGTTGTAAACTTTAATACAGATGCATGTATAAAATATTCTTAGTCGCTGACCATGAGCCCTGATCATTGTTTAAAAGGGAAAATGTTTATGTGAGCCTTGAGGAAAAATAAAGAGACTTCACGATAAAAAGGTTGTTAATGGAAGTGTCCACTAAATGAAGGATTTACTTCTTTAGCAGGTTTCAACATTTCCTTGCTTCACATTACATTTTGTTATATTGTTATTAATGCAATTACTGGTTTTTAACATTACTAGTGAAATCTGTATGATTATTAAAGATCTAAGTGTAAAAATTCTCCAAACAATAATAGTGCTTTCTACTTCACCTTTACAGCAGGCCCTTCATGGCAGAGCTCCATGCCTCTTTGCAACCAGTTACGTTCTTCCATCTTTATTTGTTATTGAGTGCAAAAACACACATTAAAATTGATATACCTTGGAACTTGCAAGAATTACTGACAACAGTTTGGACCATATCAAGTCAAAAAATGTCATTGTCCTTTTTGCACTACAATTTCTATGACCTTTTTAAAAACATAGAAGAGAAGGGACTTTTAACACATATTTTTAATTATGAATAATTGATTGATTTCAGGCACGTTAACAGCTAGGTAATTAGTTCTGTAAGTATAGTGCATGTTTTTATCACGAGGTGGCTTGCAGGGTTTTCCACAGCCAGGTATCTCCCACCAGCTGGGCACAGCCTTAATTGAGACAAGCTCTAAGCTCCCGACTTGTCTCCCAGCCTATGTGGTAGTGTCATGTATGTAAGTGTACGTGTGTGTAATGAAAGAATGAGCATTGAGCAAGAAAGAGAAAGGAAAGACTGTTCACGGTCCACGGCCTGTTTGTTAGGGTTCTGCTCTAACATTCATCAAGTGTAAATAGGAGAAACGACAGAAAACTATTAATCAGGGCAGCTGACCACTAGTGTTCTCCAGCAGACAGCAGCAGTGAAATCAATTGATGGTCTGAGCCACTTAATAGGTAAGTGGCTGAGGTAGTTTTAATTATGAATAGTGTACATAAACAATTTTTCTAA